CCCGTGGTCGGTGTGATGGAGAGTCCCTGCGGTGGCTCATCCCCCCCCCCCGAGGCCAGCTGCCCTGCACCTTGCCGCGGAGCAGGGACAGGTGCTGCCTCTTGTCTCTGCACAGGGGAGGAGGCCAGGAACCCACAGCGCTCGATCCCCATTGGCATCATTGTCTCCCTCCTCATCTGCTTTGTGGCTTATTTCGGGGTCTCTGCGGCCCTGACCCTCATGGTGCCCTACTTCCTCCTGAACAAGGATAGCCCCCTGCCTGAGGCTTTCAAGGCGGTGGGTTGGGAGCCCGCCCGCTATGCTGTTGCTGTCGGCTCGCTCTGTGCTCTCTCCACCAGGTAGGACAGGGACCTGTGTGGCGCAGCACAGGGACCCACAGCACGTGTCCAGCTGGGCTAGTGGTTTGCTGTGTCTGGCTCCTGTCCTGCTCCTGGCACAGAGCTGGTCCTGTCCCCGTCTGGGTGGTGGGTGCAGACAGCTTGCCTGCCAGGCCCTGAGCCATCTCTCCCTACGGCAGCTTGCTGGGCTCCATGTTCCCCATGCCCCGCGTGATCTATGCCATGGCAGAGGATGGGCTGCTCTTCAGGTTCCTCTCCAGCATCAACAGGCGCACAAAGACTCCACTGGCAGCCACCATCACCTCGGGGTTCTTTGCGGGTAAGGCTCCCGGCCGCCACCTCACTTGGCCCCACAGCAGCCTGGAGTTGTGCTCATGCTGCATGTCCTCGTTGCAGCGGTGATGGCCTTTCTACTTGACCTGAAGGACCTGGTGGACCTCATGTCGATTGGCACGCTGCTGGCCTACTCCCTGGTGGCGGTGTGCGTGCTCATCCTCCGGTGGGTGCCTCCTCTGGCGTGGTGGTGCCTGGGATGGGTGTGCCTTGCGTCAGGCCCAGGGCTTGTGGCCCAGGACGGGCAGCGTGGGGAACCATCAAGCCCTGAAGATAGAGGCTGCTTACAAGAGCTGATGCAGTGTCTCTGGGCACATCTGTGGGGTGGCCATCGCAGGGCTGCTGCCAGAGCAGCCTGTGAGGCTGAGGAGCGGGAGGAGTATGAGGGTGCTGCTCACTGTCCCCTGGGCTGGGAAGTTCCTTGGGCTCTGCTGCAGCTTGTCCCATCTGCTCAGGTACCAGTCTGGGCAGCTGAACTCACCGAAGGCCATGGAAATGCTGGAGTTGAACAGGAATGAGGAGCTGATCATGAACCCGACTGTCATTGCTGCCAGCGCCGAGCAGGAAAAGACGCTGTCCCTGATGACACTCTTCAACCCACCCACAGACACCCCCACTGCGCTTTCGGGGCGCATCGTCTACGTCTGTGTCTCGGGTCATTGGGGAGGGAGGGGGAGCCGGCGGCTGATGTCCCCTCCTGCCAGCGGCCAGAGCGTTTTGCATGTCTCTGCAGAGCCAGGAAGGGATGGTGGGCACACTGGGTGGAGGAGAGGGGCCAGGCAGCACAGGCTGCCAGCTGCTGTTGGGGCACTGGACCAGGTCTGCCCTGAGCAGGGTGCCAAGCACAGGGCACAGCTGGGCTTTGGGGCACACAGAGGCTGATGGAGGATATGAATACTAAGTCAGGCATGTGCGGGTGATCATGGGAGCTCCCTATGACAAGCTTGTTCCAGGCTGGTCACCTCATGAGGGTGGTCCCCAGCCCCCTGAGAGCACTCAAGCTCGGCCAGCGGGGTTTGATCCGTCCATCAGTGGTTTCATTGTGCAGCCAGCGGGGCAGCTCAGCTGTGTCTGGGCAAGCATCAGAGCTGGGTTGGAGCCTCGCTGAACACAGGCTGCCCTCGGCTTGCCAGGCTGGGCACTTCCCCCAGCAAAGCGCTTTCCTGAGGCTTTTGGGGCGAGCGTTGGAGACAGCACATGATGGGCCCGTACCTGACGGAGGAGTGGGTGCCTCAGCCCAGGTGCTGGCGAGGCTCAGGGTCCCACGGAGGCCACATGCCGTGCAGCCCCGCGACTCCCCCCTCTCTTGCAGCCACATTGATCACGGTCATCTGCGTGGTCCTGACCCTCAAGGTGACTGCACTGAAGGACGCCAGTGTCGCCTGGATCACAGCCCTAGTGCTGCTCCTTGTGGCTCTGCTTATTCCCACCGTCATCGTTTGGAGGCAGCCGCAGAGCAACGTGCGGTTGAACTTCAAAGTGAGTGCAGCCCCCAGCAGCTCGGCCTCTGCACCCCATGGACCCCTGGCAGGGTCCAGGCCATTGCAGGGTCTGCCAGGGCTCGCTGCCAGGCAGTCACTGTCCAGGAGAGCCCAGGGCCCTGCAATATGGCTCTCTGAGGTGCAGTCCTCAGCATGGAAGTGCCTGGGTCTGTCTGGGCTGTGGCAGGGGTGGGATCCCTCTGTGACCAGGACCATCAAGGCACAACTGACACAGTGCCTCTTCTCCCTCACAGGTACCTTTCCTCCCACTCCTGCCAATCTTCAGCATCTTTATTAATGTCCTGCTGATGGTACAGCTGAGTGCCAACACCTGGGTGCTCTTTGCCATCTGGATGGCCGTGGGTAGGTGTCCTGTGGAGGGGAGTGCAGTGCCTGCAGGGTCTCCCCTGGGGGCTGTTACACTGGCAGCCCGCTGCTGCGCATTTCATTGTGGAAACTGTCCTGCAGGTTTTATGATTTACTTCAGCTACGGGATTCGGAACAGTGTGGAAGGGAAAAAGGCGAAGGAACTCTGTGCCACAGTAGAAAAGCCTCTGCACCACCCTGGACTAGACCTCAACCCCGGGGCTGCTGCGATCTGAGGGACTGGGCGCTGACACTCCCTGTACCTCTGCCAGTATTCCCGCTTGGGGACAAGATCGTGATCTGCACGGTACATCCAGCCCCTCTCCCACCACATGTGAGTCTCAGAATCAGGACTGCAGAGCTGGGTCGTGTGCTGCCCTTTCCCCCTTGCAGAGCAGAGGTCACGGAGATGAGTGCCTGGGCCAGGTGGGAGTGCTGGTGGCCCAGGGCTGGTCTCTGCCATCCCCTCAACCCTGCTAAAGGGCAGTGACACTGGCACAGCCCTCTCATTGTGAAAGCTGCTGTTAGAAATGCTGTTTTCCCTGCACGCGGGAGGCCCCACGTGATGGTACAGCTCTATGCATTCCGTCTGTCCATGTGGCTGTGCTTTCCAAGCGCTGTGTGTTTACATGGCAGCTGTGGCTGGAGCTGTGCAACGAGGCTTGGGGCGGCTCGTTGTGGTACCGCCAGCAGTCCAGTGCTCCCCAGCAGCACAGGGCTCAGCCAGCCAAAACCCTCTGCATCCCACGCTGAGCCCTGTGCTGCTCCAGCCACGCTTCTTGGTGTGAGCATCTAACTCGGGTGTTTGTGAAGATGTCCACAGTGTAGCTCTACCAGTGTCCAACCTCATATGCCTTGGTATAATTGGTGTTTTAATGTTGACTTTTATACCTATTAAACTAATTGTTTGTTAAGTGCTTGGCTTTGTTGGTCTTGCCGTGTCTCATGTTGATGCCCTGCAGTCATGGACCCCCAGGCAGGACCTCACGTGCCACTGGGCTGGGTGCCAGGCCAGTGTGAGTGCAGAGCAGGGCTCGGCCACAGCCAGCTGTCCTGGGTGAGCTCCCTGCCCGAAACCTGCCAGCTGCAGCCACTGGCCCTCATGCTATCCCCTGGGACAGTGAGCCAGGAAGAGTGGAGCAGTGCTCCAGGCCAGTTCAACCCAGCGAGACTGATACCTGTGGGCAGGACACCACCCTGCCACAGCCCCACTCTGCAGGCCCTGTGCTATGTGGAAGTGTCACCAGGTCCTAGGACAGCAGCTGCAGTAAAGCCCTTGGAAATATCTCCTGGAGGCTTCAGCAATGGCCTGCAGAGGAAGCATGGCCAGGAGCTGGGCTGCATCCATGCGAGAAGATGATGATTTCCCAGATTCTGGTCTGGTCTAAATTAGCCCTGACAGATTATTTTTCAAAATAAACTAATTTAGGGCAGATGGATCTTGCATGGTTTTGGCATCTCTCCCTGTTTACTGACAGTGGAGCAGGGTCACTGCACGGTCAGTGGCGAGGGCCCCACACCATCAGCTCTGCTTAGCCCCTGAGCTGAAGCTGTGAGCCCTGCCCCAGGGCTGTGCCAGGGTAAGAAGGGGCTGCGGCACCTGCTCTGGCCACGCGCCAGGCACTGCCTGCCCTGCTGCCCTGGGCCAGGGTGCCCTGCCAGAGCCTTAGGCTCCAGCCCTCGGGCACAGCTGACTCCTGGCACTGGCTTCTCATAGGTGCTTCCAGCTCTACTGGTCATGCTTCGGTGTGCCACGCTGGATCCCATCACTCTGTCTGGTGGGTATCTTCTGGGCAGGGGCAGCACTTGCTGAACCTTGAGCCCACAGTCCCTCCAGCTCCCATGCATCTGGGTTTGGGTGCTGTTGCCCAAGCCTAGTGGGCAATGGGCCTGTGATATGGCTGCAGCCCTCAGCCCCTGGCTTGGAACTGCTGCAGCCCCTCCGTGCCTTTGTGCCCGTGTCCCCATGCACACATGCATGTCCATGCCCATGGCTGGGTGTGGGTCTGTGACCACAGGCATGTCCATGCCTGGCTCCATGCCATCCCACTGAGCACCAGCATCCCATCCTGGGCACTCTTTGGCACTGACAGACCTCCAGACATGGAGCGGGGTGCTGGAAGCCCTGGGCAGCTCCCACAACAGCAGCTGGGCAGGGAAGCAGCTGTCTGGCAGTCGCCAGTCCGCCTCGGTGCAGTGTGGTGTGTTGGTGCCATCCCTCCACAGGTGCTGGCAGGTGTGCAGCAGCCCTGTCCAGCCCAGGCCCCACACCAGCTACCCTGCCCTTGACTGCCTGCCTAGGGGGGCTTGCCCCAGCCCTGGGCACCCACTCTGGGGAGACCCTGCCTCAGTCCACCCCATCTGGGCCAGCAGAGCCACCAGATATGGCACTGCATCCTCTGCTGGGCAGCACCTCTGCCTCTCCTGGGTCCTGCTGGCGTTACTGTACATCTTGGTATACAGTTGGTGGGAGAATGACACCCAGCCGGAGCCCCAGCATGTTGTAGGCACAAGGGAGCAGCCTGTGCTGCTCCCACTGCTTTAATTGCTGCCACATCAGCCTGTGTGTGGCCTGCTGAGATGCTTTGATAGCAAATCAGGGCTCCATTGCACAGAGAGAGGCCAGGAGGGAGGCATGTTCCAGAGTGAAGGCTGTCAGGTGTTGGGGGCTGCAGACTGGGCTTTCCCCTCCCATGCCAGTCTGGAAGGGGCCATTTTCTGTTTTGAGAAAATAAAAGCAGAGCCTGTTTTTGCCGTTGAGAGGCCCCCTCCCAGCTCTGCACGCAGCCACCTGTGGTTTGCCCCATCAGCCAGGGAGTTTCCACCCAGGTTGGCAGCACAGGCTGTTCCTGCCTCCCCTGGGCGGTGCCAGCCTGGGCAGGGCAGCTGGCAGAGCCCTGGAGGGAGCCAAACGAGCTTGAAGCTGCCCCCTGCCTGCACCTCTGCTGCTGCACGGGTGCCAGACAGACTGGGCACAGGCGTGGGCAGGAGCATGGGAAGGGGAGGCAGGGCTGGCTCCTGTTTTAGTGGTCTTGCTGGCTGTAGTGCAGGAGGGGTGCTCAGGCAGGACCCTTGGGAGCCACAGCCAGGGCTTGGGTTGTGATCTCCCTGTTGCTGTCCTCTCTGGATTTAAAGGGGAGCTGGAGGGTTGTTGGCTCCAGCTGTGTTTGGCCCATGCCATGCTGAGGGGCCAGGCAGTTGGGGCAGCACTGCCTGGCTGCAGATGGCAACATGGCTGTGGGCCACTGCGGGGAAGCAGCGCTGGCGGGTCAGGGTGTGGGTGGTGCAGAGAGCTGGTGGCTTTCAGTCTCCCTCTCTGCCTGGTTCCACCCTGTCCCCTGGGGCTTTCATAGCTGCACCCACTGCCAGTGCCTGGCACAGACCTGGGCTGCCTTTGGTGGACACGGGGCTTTCCTGGCAGACGTGCTGGAGCAGCTCGCGCTGCACACCAACTGCTTGCCAAGGAAGAGCCTCCGAGGGGGCTGCCAAGAGGAGCCTGTGTGGGTATGCAGGCTTGGGACAGGATGGAGATGGAGGGCTGTGCTGCTGAGCCGGAGGCAGAGCTGGCCCTGCAGAGCCTGCCCCTGCACTGCTTCCCTGCCAGAACAGGGGCGGCCCTGCCACGTGGAGATGTAGCAGTAAATTAAATTTTAAATTGGGTATGATGATCTATTTGGCAGTTAAAATAGCCTGGCTGGTCTGCACTGCTCTGTGATACCAAATCCTTCAACACGGAGAGTTAATGCACCGCCTTCTTCCCTGTAGGACCCATGAACAGGTGCCCTCAGAGCCTCCTCCATGCAGGTGACCAGCTGGTGGAGTGGAGCTGTGGGTGGCTGGACGCATCCACCAGCAGGGCATCAGCCCTGGAATCTGAGGAATCTGCTCCAGGGCAGACGGGGTCACTGGTGCAACTGAGCAAACTAATCATCTCGTGATATTTCTGCAGCAGTGCTGGGTTATGCTGCAAGGCCTCATGGTCCAGAGGAGCTCCAGGAGATCAAAGCCTGTGCTGCGTGAGATTCCTATCACTTGTTGCTCACCCAGCTCCAGGCAGGTCTCAACCCTTCTGCTTTCTATGGTAACAGCTTAAGCATGCAAGGCAGTGGCTGGCAGGAGGCTGCGTGCAGCCCATAATCCTCCCGGCCCCAAGCTGCAGCAGGTGGGTGGCTTTCTAATCGCCCAGGCTTCAGGCTCTCCTTGCTTTGCCTTTGCAGGTCTGGTGCAATGACTTGCTGCCAGGTGGTTGCTCTTCTGCTCTCCTTTCTTTCCAGTGCTGCAGCTGGTGATCCGGTTCCCGCTCATGTTGCCCTGTCCATGCTGCAACTAGCCAAAGGGCTGTTCTTGTCAAAGCCTGTCCTGGAGCTGACAGCACGCTGCAATGATGCCTGCCCTCAGTGGGAGGCTTCTCTGGTCCCTCAGGACACCCAGGAGTACCTCTCTTACGAGACAGAGCATCCCAATGGCACCCGCACCCTCACCATAGTGGAAGTGAGCCCCTGGGCAAGTGGTGCAGAGAGAAGATGGCGGAGGTGGTGTGCGTGAGCAAGCGACAGATTTATGGCACAGACAGGCAGTTTTCCATCAGCGGGAAACACTTCTTGATGAACTAACCCTCCTCTGCCACCACCAAGATCTCCATGAGCTGCACGCAGGGCACGCTGGTGTCCAAGCAGCATGTCCTCACTGCTGCCCGCTGCATTTATGACAGCAAAGACTATGCGAAGGGGGCCAAGAAGATCAAGGTGGATTTCCTGATGCTGGTGCAAGGTGCTGGTGACAGGATGGGGACAGGTAGGCTGGTGATGTGCTAGGCTCGAGTGGCTAGCCCGTGGGCTAGATATGGGGCCCCAACTCCGTCAGCATGAACTGCAAACTGTGCCCTTTTGGAGCTATGCAGGCCACACTGGTGCCCGCACACAAAGCTGATGGCAGCTCCAGCAGCAGAGGAGAGAGCTGGGAAGAGGATTCATTTCTCAGGTTTGACAGTGACCAGCTGGGACAGCTGGTCCAGTGCTTCTGTGGGGCGGAGGGTGAGACAGGGTGACACAGTCCACCTCATCTACCAGCACAGCGATGCCAGGCCTGGTGCATCCGGCTCGGGGGTATACGGCAAAGTGTAGGACCACATATGACACAAATGGGAGAGGACGGTGATCAGGGTCTTACCAGGGCACCAGTGGCTGGAAGAGGCTCGGGAGCACCATGACTAGAATGTTGCCATTCACCTGACTGCTCTAAAGTTTGCTCAGATTTGTCATTGGATCAAAGGGGACTCTGAAAGCTGTCACTAAATGAGAACTGCAGCCTGCCTGTTCCCCTCCCCAGTGCAGATGGCTTTAAGTGTGGTGTTCCTGAGCAAGAGCATGGCCTAGGAGCCTGAGGAGAAGCAGCATTCCCTGGCAAAACTGCTCCACTTTATTCTGTTCTCTATCATGGAGGAAGAGGGTCTCCACAAATCACAAGGGATCCAGCAGAAATTCAATGGAGTCCAAGTCCTGATTCTCCAGGAAGCCTGAAGGGTGGTTTAAGCAAATTTGGTCGGTGCCAACACGAACTCAGCATCCGGGTTCTTTACAGAAAGAGCTTGGCTGTTGGCCAGGGAAAGTGGCCTCTGCTTCCAGCACGTTAACTGCTCACGACCTGGAGAGACAGCCACATGCTTGCTGCTAAGCTGTATCCAGTTTCTCTAGGGTCTTACCAGGTCTCTCGAACTGTTGGCTGCACTGCCTGGCTTGGCACTGCCCCAGCAATGTAAGGACAAAGGGTTTTCTCTCCTAACAAGTCCTTCATGTGCTGATGAAAGGTGTCTGAAAGGCAGCCCTGGAGCCTGAATCTTCTGGGCACAGAGCATGCCACAGCCGGGAGCCCAGCCAGGGCAGGAGAGGCTGCTCCAGGATGCTGGCAGCTACCATGCTTGGGAAGGCCCTTGGCAAAGACACCTCTTCTCACTGATGCAGCATGGTGCCCTGTGGGTACCTACATGTGGCAGCACGAGACAAGAGCTGGGAGCACCTACTGACTTCTAAACTTTCTCATCTCTCTTTGGTTCTGTCTGGAATTGCCGTAGAAGGAAGGGATCCTGACATTTACTGAAGCTATAGTATTTGAGGTGGATTCTTTTAGGCAAATACACATATTTGAATAAAAGTCAGCACAAATCTCTTTGCAAAGGTTATGTTGAAAGAGGAACAATGCATAGATTGCTAGCCGTGGTTTGGGACTTGCTGAAGGTTATATTCTTCCTCCAGACTGGAGGGAGTGGGACAGGGAGATCTGTGTAGAGCTGAAATCACAATATCTTGCAAAAACAGGGATGCCTTCTGCAGTCATAAAACAGCCCAGGCACCTGACTGAACAGATTTCTGCGTGTGCTGTCACATACATAGGACTGATGTGTCCAACAGGCCACACCAGGCTCTTCTAGGAGCAAACTGAAAGCTTCCCTTATGTTTCCCTATCTCATACACAAGAGATTACTTTGCTAATCGTAGTTTCATGGCTGACACCTGTCCCCATCTTCCTTAAGTTTTCCCATGTCCCTGTTGTGTTTGCCCAGGCAATTATTCTCTGTGTAATTTGTATTCTCCACAAGGGCCTCACACTGATGCTGTTTTGCCAGGCTGGACAGATGACTGCTTGTATTTTTCACTTTTAAGTCAATGTCCTGCTCCTTTCACTGCACCTCAGGGGCAGCCTGCATCACGGGCGTCTCAATGCTGTCATTTCTAAACCTGCTGAAGCCTAAACGTGCAGTTCCTTCCAGCCCTGTGACAGCTGTAGGGTAAGCAAGTCACCCTTCTATCAGGTGGCATGTCAGTTTGCCGGGGTTTCTTGCCTGTGTGAAGTCAGGTGGTGAGTCCCAGGCTATGGGAGGTGATAACCACACTAGGCACTTGCCCACATTTTTCCAAATGCCCTGCTACCCAGGGACCAGTTGCCTCAGGGCATGTTTTGGTATCACCTCACCCAAAAGTTGTCTCCTCTTACACCAGAACGACACTAGATTCCACAAACTGTATAATAAGCCAACAGCATTAATTAGTAGTATTGAACATCTCATGTAAGGGTGAACAAGGACCTTGGGAGCCTCCGTAATAAAACCACCCAGACAGATCTGGGGTAGGAAGAGGGAGGTGTATTCCCTCATCCTCTCCACATGACCAGCCCCCTAGCACAGCAAAGCCATCAATCTCAGAGCAAAGCTCGTAGCCATTGTTTGTACTAAAATGTTCCCAAGCTCAGCAAAGAGATAAGCAGTGCAGCCAACAAACCCCACCACCTGCACAGAAGCTTGCTACTTAATAACTACTGCGGCTACAGCACGCTGAAGACAAAACTGCTGTTGTCTCGGGTCACATGCTGGGCACCAAAAACCACTGTAGTGGGTTGACCTTGGCTGGATGCCAGGTGCCCACCCAGCCACTTCATCGGTCCCTCCTCAGCAAGACTGGAGGTGAGAAAGTAGATGGAAAACAACTCGTGGATCAAGATAAAGGCAGTTTAATAAAGCAAAAGCAAGGCTGCATGCAAAGCAAAGGAAAACAAAAGATTTATTCTCTACTTCCCATCAGCAGGCAATGTCTAGCCACTTCCAGGGAGGCAGCGCTTCAGTAGGCGTAGCAGTTGCTCCAGAAGACAAACGTCCTAAGAACAAATGCCCGCCCCCCCCCCGCCCCTCTTTCTCTTAGCTTTTATTGCTGAGCAGATGTCATATGGTACGGAATATCTCGTTGGTCACTTTGGGTCAGCTGTCCTGGCTCCGTCCCCTCCCAAGATCTTGCCCATCCCTACTGGATGAGAGGGGGAAACGTTGGAGAGACAGCCTTGGTGCTGCGGGAGCAGTGCTCAGCAGCAAAGCACTGGTATGTTATCAACACCTTTCTAGCTACCAGCACAAAGCACAACACTACGAGGGCTGCTAGGAGGAAAATTAACTCCATCTCGGCTGACCCAATGCAACTGTTTATTTAAAAAATTAAAAGAAACTTTTAAGAAAATCACACCAAACAGTGAGGATCTGAAAAGCCAGGCAGCACTGGGGGCATCATAAAGAGAAACACTCTGCAAGTCCTGACCAACCTAAGGGTGAGATGTGCAGACAAGCATCTCCAAGTGGATGACAAGACCTTTCCCCACTTCTCTCATCTAAACAGTGACACTGCTTTGTAAGCAGATATGGTTGCAAATCAGAAACCTTAATCTCTTGTGCATCCATCCCCACAAGGTGCCCAGGCACCTGAAGGGCTCTGATGGTGGTAAGCTTTTAAGTTCCATTTGAGAGCAACCACGCCTGCAGTTGAGCCTTGGAGTAAGCCACCTACTTAGCTGCAACGTGAAGAGTATGTCATAGCACAAGGTGTGTGTGACATGCTGCATTTCTTCTTACCCAGAATTCTGCAGAACTGTCCATTTTTCTCCCCTTGTTGCCTTGTATCAGCACAGAACATCTTCTCTAGCCCAGAAGGAAGGGGGAATGAATACGTGTATATCCACAGTCTAAGGAGGGTCACCTTTTGCTGGAATTTGGATTTCACTCCCTACCCCAATCCAAAATGTGAGAACAAGGCTAGCTCTGGAAGGACAGAGCCCTCTATGAGCTAGGACCCACGAGGCAATTAATAGATCGCAGGCTGATGATTTGCCTTCTGCATCTGAATGATCTTGCCAAAGCCACCTCTTCCCACATCGTAGTCTGTCCGGTACTCATCTCGCACCTGAGGCACAGCAGTAACACAAATATTAGTACCCAGCACTACCTGTCTCCTGCTAGACTTCACCCCCTCCTTGCTTAGCTGGTGGGGAACTGAAGTTCAGGTCACAAGCATTTTCTCTTGTTTGAAATCTCTTCAAATAATCCACCAAAAATGGTGGTGAAAATGACAAATGAGGACATATCTGATAGCTCAGGTCTTTTTAAACAAGAAGCAATAAAACCCCAAAATATTTCCATTCAGCTTTGCAGTCCAGCTTTCTGAACTGCCAGGCTTGGCCTGCAGAACGTTTTCTATGCTCTACCCTGGAAACCTGCGAAGGAACCTCACCTTCGCACTGGGGCAAACTGCTGCACTATGAAGTTGGCCGAGCAGCTATACTGTCCCCCTCCGCTCAAATTCTCATAATTTTAAGAGTATTAGCTTGATTAGGGAACATTCTGCTTGCATTGCAGGAAGTTTGGAGTCCTAGACAGAAATGGCCTTAAGATCTATTTCTAGCTTTTAACACCAGGCATCAGTTACCAAAACAACCTGGGAGTGGCTGAAGTTTATTACCAGGTATTTGTAGTCTACACATTGTCCTGCGTGAGACAAAACTAGCAAGGCAGTACACCATCTTAGGAGGCTCAAATCCAAGGTATGAACTGGTATTGCCTTTACCTGTCCTCCAGTCTTTCCTCTCCCATACTGTCGCCCCTCCTTAAACCCTGCATCCCAGTCGGTTCGAATGATGCGGTCATCTAGTCGCGTGCCGTTGATAAACCGCATGGCGTGCTCTGCGTCTGCTCTTGTGTAGTATCTGAAGCATTCTGTAAGGACAACTAAGCCTGCTTTTTGTTGGATACAGGGAAAACAAAGAAGAGAACGACTGTATTGAAACGCAGAAAAACCCTGTCTTCCAGCCTTTTCTACTATTCCTGCTCCTCTCTACAGGATCAAAATCTGCGCTCACGTAAATCCAAGCTATAAACAGCTCCCACTCAGAAAGGATTCTGAACTTTAATGTTAGTGCCTGTATAGGCAAAAGTAGCTCTGGATCACTTATTTCACAAGTAGCTGAAACAAACAGGTTAAAGCCTTGCTAAGGGCAAGAAATC